AAAACAAATTCACTAGTGGGAACGCAGCCATATGCAAAGAAAAAAAAAAAAAAAAAGCAGGAACTAGTTTGTAAATGTGCAAGAATGTCTCAGATCCTCCAGGCAGCCTGAGAAAGCTATAAAAAGCTCTTGCTCTTCAGAGCCTTCCTGCCTCTTCCTTTATCCCTGTATGCACAGCAGATGTTACGATTCTGGTTTCAGCTTTAAAAAATTTGGTATTGAAATATATTTTCACTGACAGCAGTAGCAAATACTTAGTGTCCTGCAAAAGCAGCCCATGTTATTCTTTCTTCTATGGGACCAACTTGTTCCAGCTATTCAGTGATAGACTTTAACAGAAGCAAGTTTATAAATTGAGAAAGAGAAGATACAGACAGTTCTTTTGTTCAGAGCATGTGTACTCTACTATGCACTGGTTTTTACATTGCTGTTTTATTGTCTAATACTATGTGCTATTGCACACATGCTGCCTGATTATGAAGACCCCAGTCTAACACTGTATAACAATTCCAAATGTCATGATTTAACCCCAAGCAGCAAGCAAGCATCATGCAGATGCTCACTCAGTTCCCCCCCACCCAGTGGGATGGGGGAGAGAATCAGGGAAAAAAAAAGGTAAAACTCATGGGTTGAGATAAGAACAGTTTATTAGAACACAAAGGAAGAAACTAATGATGATAATGATAACAATAATAAAATGACAAGAATAATAAAACAATTGGAACTTACAAAGCACATGATGCACAATGCAATTGCTCACCATCCACTGACCAATGCGCAGTTAGTTCCCGAGCAGTGATCCCCCCCCCCAGGCCAACTCCCCTAGTTTATATACTAGGCATGATGTCATGTGGTATGGAATATCCCTTTGGCCAGTTTGGGTCAGCTGTCCTGGCCGTGTCCCCTTCCAATTTCTTGTGCCCCTCCAGCCTTATTGCTGGCTGGGCCTGAGAAGCTGAGAAATTCTTGACTTAATGTAAAAATTACTTAGCAACAACTGAAAACATGAGCGTGTTATTCTTCTCATACTGAACCCAAAACATAGCACTATAACAGCTACTAGAAAGAAAATTAACTCTATCCCAGCCAAAACCAGGACACCAAAGCAAACACAGTAACCACTTGAGAGGCAGTGCCTGAGCTTGTCTTGCCTAGAAAATTTTCTCTGTAACATGGTAATCTAGCTCATGTTCTCCAGCAGTGAATGAAACACTTTCTGATTAACTACAAAACCAAACAGAGAAACCTTTTACTTTGGGACTGTGCTATACTTGTTGCTATAATAAATTTTAACCCAAAGAAGGCAGTCTGGGACAGGAATGAAGGGGGGAGATGATGCTTGAGGATTGTTTTTGCTTTTTGTTTTGAAAAAGTGAGCTCCATACCAGACTTTTCTGCTACAATTTGTGAATGCTTGAAGGAAAGATCCCATCTTTGGAAAGAGTGTACATGCACACACAGGGGGGGAATGAGAGAGAGAGAAAAGGGGTTTGGATCGCTTAAAGAATCACCTCCACAACAGGGGTTACCTCTGTGGAGAGGTTTGGTGCAGTTGATTAGGAGAAAGCTTAACAGAGAATTGCAGAAGGGGATTGCAAGAGTAGGAAAATGTACTTTGTCATGAGAAATGTCATTATCCATCCACCTGAATATGTTAAAGAAACCTTCACTGTAGTGCCTCAGCCGTAACTCTTTCCAGCCATATTGATACTGTGGAATTGTAACTTCTCTGCTGTGTTAGATATGCAGGTTGATGTCCATAAGAGAAAGCTATTTTGCAACAATGGCAAATGAATGATGACTCCTTTGGAATGCATCCTCTTTGATCTGTGGCGGGTTGACCCTGGCTGGATGCCAGGTGCCCACCAAAGCTGTTCTATCACTCCCCCCTCCTCAGCTGGACAGGGAAGAGAAAATATAACAAAGAGCTTGCAGGTTGAGATAAGGACAGGAGAGATCATTCACCAGTTACCGTCAGGGGCAAAACAGACTCAGCTTGGGGAAAATTAACTCAATTTATTACAAATCAACCAAAGTAGGCTAATGAGAAATAAAACCAAATGTCAGAACACCTTCCCTCCACCCCTCCCTTCTTCCCGGGCACAACTTCACTCCTGGATTCTCTACCACCCCCCCCCCAGCAGCACAGGGGGATGGGGAATGGGGTTTACAGTCAGTTCATCACATGTTATTTCTGCTGCTTCATTCTCCTCAGGGGCAGGACTCATCACACTCTTCCCCTGCTCCAGCATGGGGTCCCTCCCACGGGACACAGTCCTCCATGAACTTCTCCAACGTGGGTCCTTCCCATAGGCTGCAGTTCTTCACAGACTGCTCCAGCATGGGTCCTTTCCACGGCGTGCAGTCCTTCAGGAGCACACTGCTCCAGCGTGGGTCCCCCAGGGAGTCACAAGTCCTGCCAGAAAACCTGCTCCGTGGGTTCCTCTCTCCACAGATCCACAGGTCCTGCCAGGAGCCTGCTCCAGTGCGAGCTTCCCATGGTGTCACAGCCTCCTTTGGGCACCCACCTGCTCTGGCGTGGGGTCCTCCACAGGCTGCAGGTGGATATCTGCTCCACTGTGGACCTCCATGGGCTGCAGGGGGACAACCTGCCTCACCATGGTCTTCCCCACAGGCTGCAGGGGAATCTCTGCTCTGGCACCTGGAGCATCTCCTCCCCCTCCTTCTTCACTGACCTGGGGGACTGCATAGTTGTTTCTCTTACATGTTCTCACTGTCTCTCCGGCTGCCATTTCTGTCTGTCCCACAACTTTTTTTTCTTCTTAAAAATGTTATCACAGAGGTGTTACCACTATCGCTGATTGGCTCGGCCTTGGCCGGTGATGGGTCCGTCTTAGAGCCGGCTGGTATTGGCTCTGTCAGACACACAGGAAGCTTCCAGCAGCTTCTTACGGAAGCCACTCCTGTAACCCCCTGCTACCAAAATCTTGCCACACAAAGCTAATACAGATCAAGCAATAGCTTCAGCTGAGATGGCAAAAAAATATATTACACATTTAATTCAGACCAACCTTCTGCTGTATTATAATATCAAACTACTAACTTTCCATTCTTTTCTGTTGTTTATTAAGAAAACCTACTCCTTAAAATTATTAATTCTTTCACGGAACTGATGTACCTCCTTTTATTTAGCTCCACTAATGACTGTAGTCAATATAACTTTGTCAACATCTTTCCCTGGCTTTAAATACAGTTCAACATCAGTCCGTACAGACACAGACAAGGACTCCAAGCAAGAAATTTCACAGATATAAGGCTGTGACTTGTATGGCCTGACAGGACATTGAATCATCCAGAGCCTTTAGGTAGAGCTTTTCAAACCTTCTTCCTTCAGGGACAAAGCTCCCAGTCTCTAAACACCACCCTTATTACAACACAGACGATCAAGCTAGAACAAAGCAATGCCCAATAAATTTCAGATCTACTAGATGCAACGTATAGGAGTCAGTTTATAAAGACACACTAAGAAAGGTTTAGTAAAATCTTTTAATCTCTTTCTCCCAGACATGCTTCCCAGGCCAGAAAATTTCAAAGGCCAATTCCCTTGTAAAAACACCACATAGCCTTCTCTTCCTCCTTTCTGAGACTTACCAGGGCCTGATCTCAGTGGCCAAGAGGTGCTGCACCCATCAGAAAGCTCTGGGCTGCACTCAAAGGGGTTCACCAGCTTGCTGCCTCTCTCCCACAACCTCTGCCCTGAGCAAGTTCAGCTGTGCTCAGGAAAAGCATAATTTCTCCCTTCTTTTAAAGCTGTCTTCCTAAGTATCACAGATAGGGTAAAGAAAGCCACAATCTTCTTCCAGGTTGCCCAGGTAATAAAACATATATCCTATTTGTGCAGCAAGCTGAGAACAGATGAGTGGAGGCAGCGCTTCAGAAAAAGGTTTATCCCTATAATTTCCAGTGCTCCTCATGCCCCTCTAGATTTTCCTGCTGCATCCCTCTGTCCTCTTTTCTACAAAGAAACTCTTGCCTATTATATCTACAGGATAAGGAGAAACAGTATTCTTCTCAGTGAGCTCTTCCCTGAAATTAGGCTATTCCACTTCTCATTGAAGGAGAGTTAATGCCCCTTCTCAAATAAGCTTATTGCCCCATTCTCATCCCTCTTCAAAGACATCCATCTCAAACCAAACATTTTCTCATAAAAGTGCAATATTAAAACAGTTAAAGGGCCTTTTTCCATCTTCATGGTACAGTAGGTAAAGGGTCTTTAAAGTGTAAACAGAAGCAGCTCCCTTACTTTAAGATTTCTTGCTTATTGAACAACAGGAGACACACCCATGGTAGGTGAACATCATCTCTTCCTAGCCTTTGATAAACTGTCTCAGGCTGAATTTACTACGTATAGACAAAAGAAAAACTTTTCCACAACTGAAATCTGACTCATTCTCCTTTAGCAATTAGCACAAAGTTATTTGCACAGTGTTTGCTGGAACTGATGACTTACAAAGGGACCTGTTTCCCCACAACCAAGCTGGAAAAGGGGCTGGGAGAAGAAAGAAGTACAGAGAGACTCGGTGTATGATGCAGCACAAATTTAATGAGGCTGAGGAATGGAAGGAAGCAATGTAAAGAGTAAGGAATACATTTCCATGGTCCACTAAGGACAGTACCCATTCATCCCTCTCACAATGACACACTCAGCAAATGAGATCTTCCTTCTTCATTGTTTAAGTGGACTGTACTAATTCAGTTATGCAGAACAATTTCTAATAATTACATGTTTTACCTAGTCTTTGTCAAATACAAAAAAAGCATAAGAAAACAAGACATTTGATCAGAAATATAAAGCAAAGCATAACAAAAGTAAGACAAGCAAAGGCCTGATTTTAGGAGATGCCAAGCACTCACAGCTCCATTAACTTCAAGTTGTGGGTGTCTAACATTGCATCTGAAAACCATGGCCATGAGCTCAGTCTTGCATCAGATTTTGCTTCAGCATTCCTGGTCATTTCTTCCTACTTGCTCCTCATGCTTTAGCACGGCCCATAGAAGCCACCGCGATAGGTGTTGTAGCGACGGTAGGGCCGGCTGTACCCACTGCCCAGGCCTGGATAGCCAAAGCTCCCAAATCCTAAGGAGCTGCCAGAGGAGATGGGCACTCCCCCAGCACTAAGTGCGCTCCCAACAGCTGCGGATGCTGAAGATCCCACAGCGGTGTTCTGGGGGAAGGAGCTGAGGATGGGTCCAGGCAGGGTCACCACAACGGGAGAGGGCTGGATCACCACTGTTGAGTCCTGGCACTGCCTGACACAGGGCTCATTGCAGCTATTTGCCAGTGGGGTTGGGCCACAGGGGGTGGGAGGACACAAGTCGTAGCAAGACATGTCTGTGGGGTGGAGGTAAATCTGAAACAAAAAAAAAGAAATAAATGCAATACAAGAATTTAAATAAAACTCTATTAGTATACCTGAAATTCTCTGACAAGAGGAGTGTATAACAAACTAACGAGGTTCCATGGGGAGAAAGATGGCATTTTTCACCAGATCCAGAGGAAGTACTTTGAAAACAGGGTTGATCTTGCATTTTCCTTAAGGAGATTGCTAGGGAAGGCAGCACTGGTGCATCTCAGTTGGTAACTTACCCTGAAGCCTCTGTGGTTATTCAACTCACCCAGGAACCAGGGTACATGCTGGTGCTGAAAGCCTCTTCATTCACATTGCAGAGGGTGCCCTAACCACATGTTCATAACACTACCCTAGGAAAAGGCACTTTCAACACTTCCTTGCAGCTGTGGCTGCAAGGGCTTTGTATGTCCTAGAGAAATGGAGGTTGACTCTTTAGCCTTCAGATGAAGGTGCTCTGCTGGAACAGGTAAGGCTTAGGTTGTTATTCCTGATCCAAGGCTTGCCTCTTTGCTAAACAGTCAATGATGACAAACATCCTACCTAATGCTAATACAGCAAATAACCTTTCTGATTTCATTCCTATTGCTTCCTCTCATGCATGTTCCATCTTGGAGGTCCCGTTTCCCAGTTTTAGTAAGTGGAAAATAGAAGCTTAAGCACTTAAAATCTGTTTAATAAGAAATGGAAGGACAAGTAGCTGAATTCAGGAACACTTCTATTTTTGTGTATTGCTATTAATATTAAAATCATCATCAGATCTCAGAAGCTACAATGCAAATCTGTCCACAGTTGTTTGGAGGATGGAGAAGCAACTGAATGAAGGTCACTCCTTGCCTGCAGAAGAACTACAAATTGAGTTTCAAAGGCAGGCAGGCATGGACTGATGATTGCGTTCTATGTGGAGAGCTAGTGACCCAGGACTGCCAGTATTGGCCAGTATCCCTGTGTTCTTCCGATCTTACAGCCTTAGCTGAATATTCCACAGGCCAGCACATTAGTCTGAACAGACCCAAGAATTCACTACAGGTATTTTATGTTCAGCTGCAGGACCTGAAAACTTGTTTGGATCCCAAAGTTGAATAGACAGACCTAACTGGTTAACTTGTGGCTAACTGCCCCATTCAATGATTTTTATAACTGACCACCAACAGAAAACTTCCCCTTTCATATGAAAACCCCTTTGTCCCTCAGAGAAAAAAGCTGAATGTACTACAACGTTAGTGAGGAAAAGCTACAAAGTCATCAAGGCAACAGTTCAACGTATAAAGAGAGAATAGGTGGGTTCATACTTACCTTATTCACCAAGGCAAAGAAGGCAAGAGAAATGGATGGAAAGGCCTTGAGTTGTGCAGGTTTTTATACTGAATCCCAAGTTGCCCAACAACCTGGGACTTTCTTTGTGCATGAAATTATTTATGAGCCACTACTGATTACATGGGGGTTTGCCTCAGTATTTGTGTTTATTACTGCTTCACTTCCTTATCTTGTGGCATGTATATCTGACCACAAGTTTCTTTCATCTTAAAATATTCTGGGCCAACTTAATTTCTGGGAACACTGGAGTGATTATTTCAGAAGAATTTATTCTGCCTTCAAAACCCTTTTGGATCTGCCTGGTGTCATTAAAGGAGATTAAGCATAATTTACATAATGCAGTCCCTTGCACCCTCCTCTGCAAGGTAAATACTGTTGGAAATCATGAAGAATTTCAGCTTTTGGTAGGCAATCCATGAGCACTTGTAGTTTGGGGATTCGAGCTGCTTCTAAGGAAAAGAGAAGAGAGACTGATTTTTTCAGAAAATGGCCAGGAATGCACACACAATTTTCACCAAACTCCAGCCCCAAAATGAGAGAAAAAGCACAAATACTGTTAAAAGGGAAGGACACTGAAGAACCCTGTGAGAGTTGGGAGGAACTGAAAAGTGTTATGGCTGTGTACAAAGACGGAGATATAACTAGAAAAACAATTAAGATACTGCTTCTTTGACATGGAAGAAAAAAAAAAAAAAAAAAAAAAAGAATTTTAGAAGTCCAGTTTAAAAAGATAATATCAAATGATAGCACTTTTGTGGAAGTCTGAATGACAAATCTTAGTAATACAGGATCTTTCCTGGCTGTCTCTAATTCTGAGCCTGATCTCTTAGGACCTCTTTATGTAAAGAATCGACAAATCCACTTTTATTCTTATCTTGGACCTCAAAACATCAGCAACTGTTTTTTAGGTTAACTGCTACATGTATAAATTTGTTGCATTTCTTGGTGACTTTTGTTCTCAAGGAAGAGTTCTGAAAAGATAAGGTTTTGCAAAACTCAGCTGTGGAGGCAGAAGAAGTCATATACAAGAATACTTCCTTTCCTGTCCCTGCAGTGTCTGGTACAGATGTGTTATAGACCAATGGTAGCCAGTTGGAGAAGAGTCAAATGTATATCAAGTGTCAATAATTTCTTCACTTGCAGTCCATTTTTCTGTCACTTTGCAGCAGTCTTTGGATCATCCAATGAAACTGAACTTCATCTATAGGTGGGGCTTACAGGATAAATAGTCAAGGGGTAAAATACATAAGTAATCCTAGACACAGAGATTAGCACTGAGAGTTTTGCTCTCCTAGCACTTTAACTACTGAGACATGTAAATCATCTCTAAATTATGAGTGTCTTTGTGAAGATCTCCTGGGAACAGAAACTTGTTTGGCTTGGTCACAGGTTCCTGAGAACTTCAAAGTTTATCAGAAGTTTTATTAGAGTGCTAGGCATGCAAAGTATCACATTATGTGCAAATTTAAGATACGTGACCCATATTTGAATTCTTATATCACTTCTGTAATAATATATTATTAAGATTTGGGAGTGCAGATCAGTCATTGGGTTCTAAAATTTATGTCATTGTTCCTGGCTGCAGGAATTACAGCTATTTTATTTTTAATTAAAAAATATCTCAAGGTTTGGTTTAAGCTATCTTGTATTTCAAGGAGATTCTCAAAGAAATTGTCCTAGCCTTATTTAGCTTCCCCTCCCTGTCCATTCCTCAGTACTTCTCTATGTTCTAAGGGATTAGCAGGCTTTTTCAAAAATAGTTTCCTCTATAGCAGCTGGTACCTAGCAGCTATTTGAGGAATTAATTTGCATAGCAGTATCCATAGATTATTTTCATCAATTTTTTTAATTTTTCTTTCATCCAAGTTCATCTTGGAAAACACAAAATATTTCTAAAATCAGACTGAGTTAAAAATAATAATAAAAAAATCTGGCAACATATTCAGAGATGTCTACAGCCTTCTTTGAAAATAATTACAATAATTATTTTTCTAACTCCAGCCACTTTATTGTACAGCCAGAATGACTTTGTGGCCTGATCTTTGAAATGAATTAAAGTAAGTGAAACAGAAGGTCACAGGTTTTTTGTATAAGCATGGACAGACTTATATACTCAGATTATAATTAAAACTTAATGCCTAGTGTGAGAATATCCTCCTGAGACACCTGCGAGTGACTAAATGTCTGAAAAAAAAAAAATTAATCAAAATGGAACTGGAAGCTTACTCACAGCAATCTCTACGTAATGGCTTCAGACACAAAGGTGACCCCAAAATCTGTGCATGGAGAAACAGACACACAGAAAATGGAAGTTTTCCTGGTACGAATAGTGCCCTCTACAAGAAATTTTGAATTGTGATTAATTAGCTCATCATAAAGAAATGGATGCCTTAAAGACTTTGAGCAGTTGAACAAATCTGTAAAAATTCTTGCAACTCAGAGCCCTCCTATGCCATTCCCTTTTCTCATCATTCACAACAGCTCTGATAGCCCTTGCTTTTATCTCAGACCTCATTCTTAGTTAATTGTACTAAAATAGGTGCTTATTGACAGCATGAGCAACAGCCTTCATATCCTACACAGCCATTTGAAGTTTGAACAATAATCTAGCGTACCTGGTTCCAGGCCACTGAGAGTGAATTCTGCTAATGCCCTCACAGTATTAGCAATTTCTGGCTTATTGCTTAAAACAGAAGATGTACCTATAGCTTAAGGTTGTTTAGTTCAGTCAGACAGGATGCCTCTCCATGGCATTCCTGTTTCTATTGCAAGCCACCACTTGTTATTTGCTGGAATTTGTTGTTTAGCCCAGGCAGCTGAATAGTACATGGTGTATGTGTAATCTGAGTTGCCTTTTGGTGTAGGTAGAGCCTCTGACTTGAGCTTCACAACATCAGGTTCTGTTGCTCACATAGCTCCCCTGAAGGCAAAGGTGTTCAAATATAGGTAGATATGTAGTCCTCAAAGTTCATACCTTAACATAGCTGTTTTCATTGTTAATGTTATTCAAATACTGTTATGAAGAACTTTAAAATGGCTAAAGTTTGAGGTTTGGGTTTGCATCTTACTGTGGTCTAATAAGCTTAAACAATTTATGTTACAATTTCCCTTTCTGTAAAAAAATAAATGTAACTGACTACTGCATACAGATCTGTGGAGTATTTCTGCAAAGAGCCAGGTGTAGTGTGGTTGTTATGCTGGAATTCAACGGGGAACAGTAGAAGAAAACAACAACAAAAACTAATTTACGCTGGAGGGAAGAAATTACTTACTCACCAGAACCTCTGCAAAACACCACACCCAAAATGGGTGGGCTTTAGTTATTTTTCAGATATGTTTGAATCATTTTTCAAATGCAGATTTTAATTGTATTTCAGATTGTAAGGGTGCAATTAGTATTTCTTTACCTATGGCCCTATGTTTCAGATCCACCTTCCTTGCAGAGCGGTGTCTTAGTGCCACCAAGACTGATGAATGTGTCCTTGTAATCAATCACCTCAGAGCAAGGGGTTGCCTGTAATCATTGGTATAAACCCGTTTCACAAGGCATCATTTCTTTCTGCCAAGGGTCACATGAGATATCACTCACCCACATTTTGCTGCAATTACATGCCAGGTCCCTGATTTTACATTTATTTCCTTTAGCCATTTAGGAAGGAAAAGAT